AGGCTCTGCCCCAGCGAGGGCGCCTCTGCCGCCTGTGCCTCTCAGCAAGGAGGGTGATGAGGGGCGCCGCAGTGTGGGCTGCCCTGAGGAACTCCGAGTGTCTTGAAAAGACTTTGCCTCCAAGGCCCCTTTGGCAAATGGTGCTCTATCACCTGCCAACACGCGTGACGGGAGGCACAGGATGCATCGTCTCTTGTGTTTGGTAGCCCTGACAAAGAATCAGGTGAGGTCAGAAAAAACGTTTTGAACTATTTGTTTTCCCGTCTCTTGAGCACTTGCATTTAGCAGTTGTAGTCAGAGGTTACGTGCTTCATAGAGCAAAAGTGAGGTTCTTGCAAAAACATGAAAGATGGCCATTGTAGTGCCTGCCTTTGCTTAGGGAGAGTAAGATGTGCCGCCACAGTGACTGATGTACCAGCTAAATTCGAAACTAAAGCATGTGGAGAGTGAGGAGGTTTTTAGATAGACTGACAAATCAGACAACTCTCTGAGGACATCTCTCGAAATTCCCTGGTAAAAACTCTGAGAAAGCTATACCCAACGGTCTGCTGCATTTAAAGGCTGGATTCAATACTGGGCATGGGTATCAAAGCAGGGTATAAAATATATTAGTATACAAGCTGAGTCAATCACCAGGTCAGTCACTGCCCAATTCAGGAGGCACCCTTCCTGTTGTGCTGAAAGTCCTGGTAGCGGTCTTGCACATGGCTACAGCTCCCTGGTCACTGAAAACAATTCCCTTGCCTAGACTACTTACAGTCCACAAGCAGGTTCACCTGATGTGACCAGTATTTTCAGAAAAAGTCCACAGCACAAGCAAGATCAAGCTGTTGCTCTCTTTGAAAATGAAAGTTGTGATTACTCCTGCACAACTCGTGTGTAGCAGAACAGGAGGTAGGACTTTGAAGGAGAAACAGACTGGGGGTTTGTTCTTGAGGAATTTCAGATTGGCAGCCTCCATTTCATAGGACTGAATCCTATAACAGCCTGGATGATAGTGTCCACTGCTGAAGCAGTACCACTGTCTAAAACATTTGAGACTGGCCTCTATCAGAAACAGTGTGAGCAGCAGGAGTAGGGAGGTCATCGTGCCCCTGTACTCAGCACTGGTGAGACCACACCTTGAGTACTGGGGTCAGTTTTGGGCACCACAGGATGAGAGGGACATGGAGGTGCTGGAGCAGGTCCAGAGAAGGGCAACAAGGCTGGTGAGAGGGCTGGAAAACATGGCTTGTGAGGAGCGGCTGAGGGAACTGGAGTTGTTTAGTCTGGAGAAGAGGAGACAGAGAGGAGACCTTACTGCTCTCTACAACTGCTGCTACAAGGAGGTTGTAGTGAGGCTGGTTCTGGTCTCTTCTCCCAGGTTACTGATGAGAGGATGAGAGGAAATAGCCTCAAGTCACACCAGGGGATGTTGCAGTTGGATATTAGGAAGAAATTCTTCCCTGAGTGAGTGGCTGGGTACTGGAATGGGCTGCCCAGGGAGGTCATGGAGTCACCATTCCTGGAGGTGTTTAAAAAATTAGTAGATGTAGCAGTCGAGGCTATGGTCTAGTGGTTAGGGAGATGTTGGGATGAAGGTTGGACGTGATGATCCTAGAGGTCCTTAGTAGTGATTCTATGATTCTAAAAAGGAAGTCCAAGTACAGACAGCTCTGCAGGTTGCTCACTACTCTAGTCCTCAACAGCCTCTTTCTAGATCCAGCTCAGTGTAAAATGCTCAAGTCCTCTTTGGAAAGTTGGGAGTCTGTGTCTTCTCTGCCAGTGCAGGTGAAACATTCATCTTGGAACGCTAAGCTATGGATGCATGTCTT